CTAAGTAAAATACAACGTACAAAGCCAAAATCTGCACCCGGATCCATGGTCAGTAAACGTACCGTGTGTTCACAAAGAGACTGGCTGCTCTTAGGTGTTATCCAATTCGCTGACAGGAAAAACAATTATTTCTCCAAAACTACATAACGAGTCGTCCTTCCTGTATGATAATAAGTATAACCGTCTAATTACAAACACTTCCACAGCAGCTTTCATGAAAGATAAAATTGAGTACCTGGGAACACTTAAAAACACAATTATTTAAAATATTCTACACATTGTCTAAGGGAATAGAAAAAAAAAAAGAGTACGGTTTCGTATTAAATACTTAGCAGTTTATACACAATATCATATTTATCAAACACATGTACACAGACTACAAAATTTTCTATAATTTCATTATTTTTGCTAAGGTTGTATAATACATCAAGCTCAGTTCTAGCTTTTTTGGGGGTCACCATACAGTGATTCGATTTTTTTTTAAATTTATAATATGATATTTTTAACTGCTAGGGAAAGTGAGGTTGGGTGGGCCAGAGTGAAATTTGGAGGTGCACGGAACTCAGTACCCCTAACGCAGGTACTGGAATGTACTGTTTGATATATTCGCTATTAGGTGAGCAAGTTGAATTTGTGTATCAGTTTTTGTTTTTTGAGATCCCTAAGTTTATGAATACTTAATTAAGAATCGATGAGCAGAGGAAGGTCGACCAGTTATCAGTATCTGCTGGCTACATGGTTACTCTTAAGCGGAATAATTACCACTTTTATAACGTACCCAAAGCTAAAAGACTGGAACGTGTTCAGTGGCATATCACTAACTGGAATCTGACTAGTTAATCAGTAGATTACTCCCCTCATTTTCTTCTTTTTTAATATATATATATATCCTTTTTACAGTGTTTCTTTGTTTTAGAAGTTTGCTCAAAGGTACATAAGGGCATTTTGCGCATATCCATCTACCACTAACTCTTGGTATTTCTGACCGAATTGTGTAATTTGAATGCCTTTGTTATAGTGCACCCATGGTCCCAAATTACAGAACACGATTTTGCGGTGGTGGAAAGCAAATAATGAGTATAGTTCGAATTTATAGTCCGAGTATGCTAACCATTTAGCCAGACCCTGCCTGGAGCATAATGTTAAAGTCGTTAATTGAATTTTCCCCTTCAGCCCTAACCATCGGATTTTTGTTTTTGTGAAGGCATAATATCTAGAATGTTGTGAAATTATTTTAACAGTTTGTACAATATTTCTATTTAGTAATCCTATCAATACTTTATTTTATAATGATGTAATTTTTGGTTTTATAAATTGGTATACTTAGATTTTGATACAAACACGTGTTATCCACTGAATATATATATATTTACACTTTTGAAGCAATCCTGAGATTCATATATGTGACAAGCATGGAAAGGGGTTTCACTATAAGAATAAAAACTTGAAGTCTCCATGGTTGTTCCATAATTAGGAGGAGTAAAATTTATTAGATTCAATATGTCAACAAGAGAAAATTATAGAAAAATGTTTGGTCTTCTACCCCACTCAGCCACCTTCATAAAATTTACGTTTGTGACAAGGATATAAAAAGGCTTTACAGGAATAAGAAAATACTCGGTATCTTTAGGGTCATTTACAGACACGTAAATGACCTGTTCGCCGAAAGATGTTCTGAAAAATAAAAATTCAAAAAAATAAATTGAACTTCTAAGCCTTTCTCAAACTACCAATGTAACAGACGTACAAAACAGCAAGAAAAGCAAATTCATAAATAAATTCATCAAATTTTAAAGGGACAAAAAGAAGCTTATTAGCCCATCAAGGATGCCCCTTCCAGCTCCCAACTATAACCATCCCTTACTACTCATGTATTCAGCCAATCTTTTCTTGAACTCAGTTGAATTTTCTGCCTCCACCACCCTTGAAGGCAGCTCATTCTATAAGCTAACCACATTGTTTGAAGAGTAATACTGTCTAAACTGCAAATGACTCCTATGCTGCCAAACTTTGAATTTATGACCCCCCTGTTCTATTGTTTCCACTGCTAAGCACAATAAAGTTTAATGGATCTATATTATCAATGCCCTTGATAATCTTAAATGCCTCAATAAAATTTCCTCTGACCTTCTCCAGAGAAACGTTTTGAGATTTTAATCTCCTCTCATAGGACCATCTCAGGTATCGTCCTAGTGGCTCTCATCTGTACCTTTTCCAACAATTCAATGTCCTTCTTGAGGAACGGAGCTCAAACTGTACACAGTACTCTAAATGAGGCCTTACAAGTGATCTATACAATGAAATAATAATATCCCTTGTCTGGTCAATATTTCTGTAGATGCTACTCAAAATCCTATTAACCCTATTGTTAGCTACAATACACTGTTTAGATGACTTAATAGATTTTTCGATTACAACACCAATATCTTTTTCTTCAACCACAGTATTTAATGTATTCCCATTTAAATCATAACAATAATTTGAATTGTGAAAATCTACATGCACCACCTTACGTTTTTGATAGTTAAACGTCATCTGCCGCGTATGGGCCCAGTGCATCAAATAATCTAAATCTCCCTATAAGTCTGCAGCATCTTTGTTACAGTTAGCCACCCCAAAAATCTTAATGTCATCTGCAAACTTCAATATGTTATTAATCATCCCAAAGTCAATATCTTGTTAATCATTCCAAAGCCAATATCATTAATATAAATGACAAACAGCAGAAGACCCAGCACAGACCCCTGAGGCACACCACTTGTAACTGCGATCCAGTCATATGTAACTCCATTTATTACTACTCTCTGCTTTTTACTCTCCAGCCAATTTTCTATCCAATTTTATAAAAATTTCCCCACACCCACAGATTTCATTTCTGTAACAAGTCTTTTGTGAGGAGGCACTTTATCAAATGCCTTACCAAATCCACAGTATTTTCTTTATCAGCTCTTGCAGTAACATTCTCAAAGAATGTCAGAAGATTTGTTAAACAAGATTTTTCCTTAGTGAAACCATGCTGGCTCTTTGACACTAGATCAAACTGCTTTAAGTGACTCTGCATTGCATCTTTAATCTCATTCTCTAAAACCTTTCCAACTACTGATATAGGACTAACTGGCCTATAATTGCCTGGACAATATTTATCACCTCTTTTAAGTATTGGATTAACATTAGCCAACTTCAATATTCTAATACTCTTCCACTACTCAATGACCTATACAAAATATTAGCCAGAGGTTCACAAATAAAATCTTTAAGTTCCTTTAAAATATCTAGGATAAAAGTTTGCGATCTAAAAGATAGTTTACCCACTCACAGGCATAAAACACTTAGTTCCACTATGTTCTGGAAATAAAAATTCCAAAAAGTACTTGTACTCACGAAGCTGACCTTAGATTTACGTATGCAATATGGATACTTTTATTTGTTGGATTTCGCGCAAAGCCACTCGAGGTCTATCTACGCTAACCATCCATAATTTAGGAGTTACAGACTAGAGCGAGCAGTGGTCCCAACCCGAAAGCTACTGCGCCCCGGTATATGTTTTGAATATTTCATCGCGCCCCAGTAACATTAGTTACTATATATTTGTATAACATTTCTCTCCCCGGCGGTTGGGAAACATTGGACTAGAACTCAGTTTGTCAACACCAATAATCCCCCAACTCTTGGGCTACTCTTTTAGCAACTAAAAGAGGGAGAGACCATCACATTATAACGTTCCTATGGCTGAAAGGGTGAGCATGGATGTTCGCGGTGGGGGGCACTTGCCTCCTCTGGAAAATGAGAAACATAATTCTTTCTTTATTCACTTCACAATTTCACACTACTTATTACACTAAATTTTGAATTATGATAAAATTCACCAGGTTTGTCAGCAGCTTTACTTAAAATCACTAGATATTTACCATGTAGCTAACTATTGAAAAAAGTCGCTACCACGGCGGCTTCTTGGATATTGGACATGACAATTCTCACTCAGGTCATAAAAGAGATTGATGCGGTCTTGCTGACATTCCCTGAGCACTGACATAGTGTGATTGGGGTCAATCTGTTGCCACCTGCTGGTAATACCGACATCTGGATATCAAAGAGACTGATGCAGTCTTGCAGACATCCCATGAGACAGCGTGATCGGGGTGAACCAAAATTTACTATTATGAAGTATATATATCTGCAGGTTTGCAGTTTGGCTTAAACTAACCCTAGAAATAATAAACCCATCAAATCTGACTGCGGGAGCTTACCTATTATCTTAACTGTAATGGCAAAATTTTAAAGACGGGTCCATCGTTCCTTGATTTTGACCTCTCCCCCCTCCATGTCTGCGACCCGCAGACTACAATTCGAGCGCCCTTACCATCAGGCCATGCTACCTGATAGAAGTACAAAAGCCCCCAGTGGCACAGCGATATGTCTGTGGATTTACAATGCTAGAAACTGGGTTTTGATACCCGTGGTGGGCAGAGCACAGATAGCCCATTGTGTAGCTTTGTGCTTAACTACAAACAAACAGAAGTACAAAAAAGCTTCATTTTAATAAAAGGAAAAAATGAGGAGAGAAAGGGGAAGTTCGTGTTCAAGAATGATTGAAATTGGCTGTTTAGTGCTCTTAAGTTTATCCACCGTTATCCAAAAACACAGTTGATAACAGTAACATAGATGCTTGCAAAGTTTTAACACTGAACTTTGTACAGTTGTACATTTAGTTTAAAAGTATACAGATGATAAAACAAGTCATTATAGGCAGTAACTCTTTTTAATGAAATATACTAATCTTCTGGGTAAAAACCGATTCATTTTTATTTTAACATATAATGACGAGTTTTATTTACTGATAGTTTTAAATTAACCTTATATTTTTATTATGTCTCTTGAGTTTTTCACCTATCAAGATTGAAATGATTTTTAAAGTTATTAGAAAATATAATCATTTATTGAGAAATTACTCGAAGCTGGCGATTTGTCAAACGTTTACTATGTAACTTGTAAGAGGGCGCTGGGATTTTTCAACAACGTCTTTCAGTCGAAAGGGTAGTACACTAGAGTAGATAATATTCTGCTTGGAATTAGATACTTAGGTAGGTAAAAGTAATATTCTTAATCTTAGATTACTCCCTTGTACTAATAACATAGACACATAATATGCTGTGGGAAATAAACATTTTATAAAGTTATTTGCATTTCAAAAGCCATCTTAAATTAAAATTAAATTTACAATATGTCAGACAAAGAATCTGGCTTTAGTTTAATTTAAAGTTTAACACATGAAAAATGGGGTATTTAGGGTGACACTAAGGAGCATAAAACTGAAAGTTATTAGCTCCAACATATTGGGGAAATATAAAAATTTTAAAAATATGCTTATATTTTTGAAGTGTAAAATTTTCAAAAGTCAGAAAAACAATGTAGATTTAGTATAGGATAAAAATACTTTAACATACGTGACTACAAACGTGTCTGAAATTAGGTATGGAAGGAGAAATGAGTAATTATTTTAACTAGGACGTGGTGTCAAATCTCAAGTTAGAAAAGAATTGGTACATTAAATTGATTAATAATGTTTTTCTCCGACATTTATAGAACTTTTAATCAAGTACCTAATATATATATATATATACTTATGTATTTACTATGAAAGTGAAACTTCTCCATACAGATTAAATACACAATTTAGGAAATTAGCTTTGAAGCTTTTATATTGTGTCAGCACTGTTTTACCACAACTCTAGTAAGTTATATTTTTTGAGGGAATGTCTATCATGAAATTTGTTAACACACTGCAATAATTGACCATGTAAATCTGCATGTAGCATCTGTTGAAAACTGATAATTGTGCGAGTTATATTTCTTATGATCTTTGTTGAGGGTAGTTAGTTTAATTGAGTTTGAAATAGTTTATACTTTGTGCTGGTACTTGTATACAGAACCATATTATCCATTAGGCACAGTGCCTAGGGCCTATGGAAAGTGTATTTCAAATCATTTAAGTATTATAAAATTATAAAAAATAAGTATAAGAAATATAAAATAGAATTATATTTTATTTTAATAGAAGAAAGTGAAACAATAAGAGAAGGTTTTTTCAAACATTAAAAAAGATTGCTCACATTCAATATATCAAAATAAATCAAGTGCAAACTTTACGGGATTTTTTTCAGTGCAAAATTTTTGATAATGTCATCAGTGTCCATCTTTCGAAGCAGTTCACTCTCAATTGAAAGTAAGGAAAGAGAAGAGAGCTGGTCTTGGCCCATAGTTGATCTTAAACAGTTTTTAATTCTCTTAAGTTTGAAGAAGGACTGCTCACATTTACAACTGGTTGCAAACAGTTAAAGATAAATTTGGACATTATGAAAACTGGTTATTAGTCCATTGTTGATTAGTTACTTCAGCATTTCGTTTTATTTTCTGGGTACATGTTTGGGAGTAACAAAAATTCATCAGCAAAGGATTCCTCCACATCACTGGAATAAGTCTTTACCAGATTCCTGGATTTCAAGATACATGCATCCCAGGACGGTGATTTGTCGTACAACATGGAATATGCTTTTCGACGTCTACTCATCTCAACAATGAGCTTGTCTACAATAGGATAAAATGTTTGTGTTTGAAATCTGTCACTCGCACTCATGGTTGAGACTGTGTCATCCCTGACTCCTTCATAAAAAAAAATGTTTCCTCACATGTTTGTGTTCAGTCCCCATCTTCTCTTTGTAGTCACTTTCAGTAAATTTCTTGGTCGTTTTTTTTCAAAACTGTTAAATTTGTCACAGATCTCTAAGAAGTATGCCAGAAAACTGTCATACAATTTCATGACTGTGACCAATTTGTTCCAGGTTCTTGAATAGCTTTATTGGCTGTGTTTAAGTTTTTAAGTAAGTCATTCCAGATAGTGCACATTAAATAATGCAGTTTCAAATATATCAGATTTTTTGGCAAGGGATTTAGCTTCATGTACAGCTGAAGGAGGTTGTCCAGCACGTTCTGCAACACTGACTCTAATCTCTGAGTAGTTCATGAATAGGGCTGTCATGGCATCATTTCTTGCAGACCATCGTGTTTATGATATACTGTGAACTACATATGCAAGTCTTTTGGTTTTGAGACTTTCAGTAAATATACTCCATCTTTGTCATGAAGCCGAACAGAAATTGTATATGAACTGTAGAACACCAAAGTTCACAGCCATCATGCAACTTTCTACAGCAACAGATCCTACCAAATTTAGACTATGGGTTGCACATGGTATCCACTCTTCTAACTTGTTGATTTCTTTGAATCTTGTTTGCATACCAGAGTATATCCCGTTCATGTTGCTTGCATTGTCATAAAATTGTGATCTGCACCTTGCAAGATCTAATCCACTCTGTTGAAAAATATGGTCAATACATCAAAGAGGTACTTGTCATTATGTCTCTCAATAGGGATGAACTGCACAACTCTTTCCTCAATTTTACCATCAGAGAGCATATGTCAAAGTATTACAGTAAGTTGATCAGTGTGGTTAATATTCGGTGTGGAATCAATGCTTACACCGTAGTACTTCGAATCTTTGATTTCTGTAATAATATATTCCTTAACTTTTAATCCCAACATTTCTATAAATTCATTACTAATGGTTGAAAAAAAGTAGGACACATATCCTTTTCCATGATTTTTGAATTTTTCAACATGTTTATGAAGAAAAGGATCGGTTTCAGCCAATAATTCAATACACTCAAGAAAGTTTCCATTGTTTGGACTGCCAGTGATTTCATTGTCACCTCAAAAGGCTAAGCCTCTCTCAGAAAGGAATTTCACAACAGTTACTATTCTTTTTAGAACTTCAAACCAGTATCTACATGCTTTTTGCTTGGTATTTTCCAGCTCTGCATCTATTCTAGTAGCTTTCTGATGCTGCAACTTGTTAGAGAGTGCATGTAACTGATATTTTGCCTGCTCATGTGAGTATATTCTGGCAGTGGTGTTCTTCCAATCATCAAATCCTGTTTTAAATTGATTGGGATGCTCATCATTAGAAAATAGGTTGCACACATAAAAAAACACTTTTCCATTTGAAGGCGAATAGGTCAACCAGTCATGTCTAATAATCTTACCATTTGGCATGTATCTGTAGAAGTATTCTTTTTGGACAAATCGTTTTTTGTCACCAAACTGTCAACCACTTTTGTCAAAGTCTGCATCCAAGTTTTGTGACAGAATGTGATCTGCATAATATTTCATTAAAGTTGCATTCACTTCCCATTCAGCAGGATCACTGCTTCTGCATTGCTCCTCCTCACACACGGCTGACACCATCGACACGGGTGATCGTGGTTCAGGTGGAGAACAATCTTCTTGAACACTGCATTCCTGTTGAAAACAAGTAGATGCTGTCACATCATCAGTCTCAGAGATAGAGATGTCCTGTGCTCCACTTCTTGAAGTACCAGAACTGTCAGTTGTTGTGTCGTCTTTTTTAAAATGTTAATATTGAGCCTCGCTGTTTTCGTATCTCTTCTTACATGGATCCTCTTTTCTTTCTTTGGACATGCACAGATTCATGTTTTCTTCGATAACCATCCTACATGCTTCAGCTATTTACCTGCAAGAAGAAGAAGGGAATATATATATATATATAAAGTAACTGAATGTTGGTTGAGGGTCCAAAATCCTGAAGGTGCCTAGGGCCTACGAAGGCTTTAATCCGGCCCTGCTTGTACAAGAATAAAAATAACATTTTTCAGATTTTGTATAGTTTGCATAACTTTATTAACATTTGTAAAATATGGCATCTGATTTTATATCAATATGATAACACAAAAATTTCATATATCACCTTAAGTATAAAGTATATCTTACCTTGACAATTAGTTTGAAAATTGTTTTATCTCAATTTAAGTGTCAGTCCATTTTCTTCAAAATTGTCATGTTTTAAAGGAACAAGTAATTAATTATTTGTGAGTAAAAGGATAATTAATAAAGCTCTAAAATATAAAAACAACTAAAAAAACTAGATACTAGATCTAATACTAAATGAATGTGAAAGCCCTGTTTTCAGTATTTTGCTAAATACAACAGACAAAGCATTTGGTGCCCCTTAGTGAATAAATGATTTTGACGACCTCATTTTCCCTTTTATCAAAACCACATATTTATGTTTGACATATTTAAATTTGAGGGTGGCTTCAGAAGCTCAACTTATTCTTTAGAATTTTTATTTTCTGTGTGTTGAATCTAACAGATTTGATGCCCCCTAGTGGATAAACTAGGCTACATGAATTCAAATTCGATGATGAGGAACCCACTTTGAGACAAATAATGCTTGGAGATGGCTTGAATGGGTAATGGAGAAAAACTTTAATGTAAGTTATGCTGTTATGTTAAACTTATATTAAAGTTTTTCTTCATTACCCATTCAAGCCATCTCCAAGCATTATTAAAGTAAGCTAGAAATATTTCTTGGTTTTATTCTTTTATTAGATCTGTAGTTTTGCTGTGATTTAAGAAATATAAAAGATTTTTAGTATTTATTTCCCCATATACCCATTATGTTTATGAATAAGGGTACTGGTAAAAAGATTTAGCCCCCTGTACTTCCCATGCTAAAGAGTTATCCTGCACAGTTGTCAGTTAGACCGGTGAAATATCGGCTTAGAGAATATTGTACTATGGAGTATATTGGTCTCTTCAATCTACAACTGGGATCGTATATATGTTTATTTACACAAAAACACTAACACTATATAAAAATAAGTTAAAAGTTATGAATAAACAAATCTCAAGATTAAGTTTAAACCGTACTTGGTTTTTATTAAAAACCAAAATGCACCTCACTTTAAAGGTCGATGACCACTGGGAATTAAGTTCTAGGACATGGCTGTTACTTACTCTTGAAAATAATCACCTAATCAAAATTAGGGTTTCCGGTTATTACTATTTTTGATTATTTCAACTATCCAACTAACTTAAATATTGTCATGTTTGTTTGTTGGTTGGTAAGGAGAAAGCTACATAATGAGCTATCTGTACTCTGCCAATTGCAGCTATCAGTACCCAATTTTTATCATGATTTTAATAGCCATCCACCTCATGAGAATAATGGATTTTTTTAAGCCATCATGTAAGGATAATCAATTGGCAAACTGAAATAATCACCCAGCTCTAAACCGAAATAGTAACAGTACTGATGCCATTTCTGTCAGTCTTTGAAACATAGTATCCTGAAAATAAACAGTGAAAAAGGACACTAGAGACATGACTTACTTGACTTAATCCTTTAGACTCCCAGTGGAGCATAGGGCCGCAACAACACCTCGCCAACGGACTCTGTTCTGGGCTGCTCTCCTCAGCTGGGTCCACGCCATTCTGGCGACCTTCGCTTCACTCCCGACCGATCTCCTCCATGTCTGTTTTGGCCTCCCAGCTTTTCTTTTCCCTTGTAACGTTGTCAACTGGTTTTCGCAGTGTGTGTCCGATCCAGCCCCATTTTCTTTTCCTGATGTCTTGGCTGAGTGGGTTCTGGTTGGTCCTTTTCCATAGCTCTGTGTTTGAGATCTTCTCTGGCCACCTGATGTTTAGGATGTGTTGCAGGCACTTGTTGATGAACATCTGTATCTTGTTGGTGATGGTGTTCGTAACTCGCCATGTCTCGGACCCATACAGGAGGACTGCTTTTACATTTGTGTTGAAGATGTGGATCTTGCTGCGCAGGGATAAGGCTTTGGAGTTCCAGATGAGTCGCAGGGTGTCGAACGTGAGCCTTGCTTTGTTGATCCGGCTCCTAATGTCTTCGGCTGCGCCGCCATCTCTGCTTACTATGCTTCCAAGGTAAACGAAGCGCTCTGTTTCCTTGATGTCTTTTCCCTGCAGCTGCAGTGGGCACCCTTGTTTGTTTTTCAGCCGCATCACCTCCGTCTTTCTGGTGTTGATCTTCAGGCCAGTCTTTCCTGCCTCCTCAGCGAGCTGGGTGAGCTTGGACTGTGCATGCTGTTGCTTGTGGGACAGAAGGCTGATGTCGTCTGCAAAATCCAGGTCCTCCAGCTGTTTGGTGAGGGTCCACTGGACGCCGGTGGCACTACCCTCAGTCGTTCTCCTCATGATCCAGTCCATGATGATGAGGAAGATTGTCGGAGACAGCATACAGCCTAGCCTCACTCCGGTTTTCACTGGGAAGGGGCTTGTCAGTTTCCATTGTGGATTATCTGGCAGGACGAGTCCTCATAGAGCTGCTGGATGATGCTGATGAGCTTCGGAGGAATTCCGTAGTGCTGCATCAGCTTCCAGATGGTTTCCCTGTCAATGCTGTCGAAGGCTTTTTCAAAGTAAGTGAAAGTTGTATACAGAGGAGACTGCCATTCGATAAACTGCTCGATGATGATGCGCAGAGTGGCGATGTGGTCTGTACACGATCTATCTTGTCTAAATCCTGCCTGCTTTGATCTCAGTCTAGTGCCTCTTTCAGTCTCTCCAAGATGATTCTAGTCAGCATCTTGCTGGGGATGGACAGCAGCACGATTCCTCGCCAGTTGCCGCACTGGGAAAGGTCTCCTTTCTTGAGCAGCTTCACTAGGTACCCAAGCTTCCAGTCAGCGGGCATTTGCTCCTGCTCCCAAATCTTCTGCAGGAGAGGATGCAGTGTCTCTGCTGCTGCTGCTGCATCTGTCTTGAGAACTTCCAGCAGGGTGCCGTCAGGACCTGCTGCTTTGCCGTTCTTCAAGGACTTGTTGACTTTGGTTGTGGGTTGGTGTTGACATGTAGGGGCTCCTCTGCTGGTGGTATGTCAGAAGGAGCTGGTGGTGGTGGTCAGTTTAGAATCTCCTCAAAATGCTCTACCCACCATGCTCTCTGTTCTACATCGCTTGTGATGGTTCTTCCCTGTTTGTCCTTGACTGGCTTACTTAGGTTGAAGTTCTTCCTTGACAAAGCATGTGTGATTTCATAGAGTCTCTTTATGTTATTCTGACTGGCTGCAGCCTCTGCCTCTTCTGTCAAACCTTGTATGTATTGCCTCTTGTCGTACCTTGCGCTTCTTTTCACTTCTTGGTTTGTTTCCCAGTACTCTGCTCTTAAGTCTCCCTTCACTTGTTGGTCCTGACATCTGTTTATCTTCTATTTCAGTTTTCTACTCCTCTCTATCTTCTCCCATGTTTCTTTTGACATCCACTCCTTCTGCTCCCTCTGCCTCCTCCCCAGTACTTTGGTACAAGCGGTCTTCCAGGTCTTCTGTAATTCAGCCCAGTGGTTCTCTATTGTCTCTTCTACCAGATCTGTCAGTGCCTCAAAACTGTTTCTGACTTCACAGTTGAACTCTTCTTTTTTTCTTGCCATCTTTCAGAAACTGAATGTTAAATTTATGGTGTGGTCTGCCTGAAGAGTCACAGGAGGATCTCAGCTTGGTCTTCAGTGTAGCCACAGGCAACTGATGGTCTGAGGCTGCGTCAGCACCGTGCCTTGCTCTGACATCCAGCAGACTTCGTCTCTACTTGCAGTCAATGGTGAAGTGGTCAGTCTGGTTGTCCGTCTTCCCATTTAGGTGATGTTCAAGTGGTGTTGTGGATCTTCCTGTGAGGATAGATGGTACCACCTATGACTAGGTCATTGAAAGAACAGCAGTCTATAAACAGCCCTCCGTTCTCTTTGCAGGTGCCTATGCCACGTCTGCCCATAATGAGTTCTCTGTCTGTGGTGTCGTCTCCCACCTTAGCATTCAAGTCGGCCATTACGATCTTCATGTCTCTTCTTGGAGTCCGGTCGAAAAGGGACTGCAAGGAACTGTAAAAGTCTTCTTTTTCTTCTTCATCTGCCGCATTGGTTGGTGCATAGCATTGGATGATGGTTATCTTCCTGCCCTTGGAGTTAAATCTTGCTGACATAAGTCTTGCTGAAACGGGTTCCCATGCCATCAATGCCCTTGTAGCCTCTGAAGGCAGTAGTAGTGCAACTCCTTGGGTGTGGTCGTGGTCCACGTTTTCATGTCCGGAGTAAATGATGGTTTCACCTGAAGACAGTCTGGTCTGGCCGCTTCCATTCCATCGGGTCTCACATAGTCCGAGAACCTTGATGTTATATCTTCTCATCTCGCTGGCCACTTGTGCTGACTTGCCACTCTCATACAGGGTTCTGGTGTTCCAGGTTCCTATCCTGGTCTTGGCCTTGGTCGTAAGAAGACTTGTCGGCGAGCTGGCTTCCCGAAGGCTTTCACCAGTCCGCGTCATGGGCTCCACCGAAGAGGAGTCTTCCCGTCCAGGCAGCTACTGGGATGAAGTTGTTGCAATTTCTGTAGCAGGTTGTTTTTTTACAGGGTGGAGTTGCTAGCCCTGTGCCCAACCCTCCTCCTTTCTCATCCTGGACTTGGGACCAAGCAATGGCGGAGTTACAATAGAGACATAATTCATAAGAAATGTTCAAAGTTTAGTTTTATAACATAATTGTCCAGGCATTTTAAAACTACTTTTACATGTCTGTGAGTTTTATCCACTTGGTTGTGTTTTGATAGATCATTAATCACTAGGCCACACCCAGTGGTAGATTCCACTCACTGTATTAAATGTTTAAATTTCATAAAAAATGGCTTAGGATATATGTGTGTTATTACAACAGTTGAAAAAACTTTGAGAAAGTGCTACTACCTCCTTTACAAATAGCTTTATATGTATATAATACCACATATTTTTATTAATATATAAAAATTGTGAAGTAACATGAAAATATTTGCATCTGGGGTACAATAATATGTTCTGATTAGAAAATGAGCATAAATCACTTAATTTTAATATGGCTCAGCATTGTTCCAATACTTCCCCTGTAAGTAAGCTGTTTGTGAAAGTGGCATTGCTATAGCATGGTGAATTTCATTTTGATTTTTTGTACCTCTATACAGTGGGGGATTATGCTGGCCATGTGTCAGAAACATAGTTTCAATTAAAAGTAATTAAATTATCATCTTCAACATTAATTATTATATTTGGAAAAACTCAACAGGTGTTTTTTTTTGTGTGTTTGATTATATGAAATATTTATAACCATAACTTAAATGTATTTTCTTGTCTGTTGCAGTCTTGTATTCAATTAGGTAGTAATATCTGTTTGTTAAATATAGAATTTATTAGTAATATTAATCATAATATTGATGTAGGGAATTTCCTCAAAACTGTGTGACATACTATTACAAGTGCAAGATTAAGGTGAAACATGAAACTATCTTTCAGTAATTTTATATGACAAAAGTAGGAAGTAAACAACAAAAGAACTTTTGAGTAGCTCTCAGTTCCTTAATATTTGATTTCTACATTTTTAATGTTTAATACATTGAGCCTAATTTAAAATGTTGATGCGTGGCTAATGTTTAAATTCTAAAATGTTAATACCCTGTTGTAAACAATTTTGAATTTTCTGAAATAAAAGGTCTGGAAAATGATATTAATGATTTCACCACAGGTAAAAATTTAAAATATAATTCGTGAAGATAGAGACCTGTTATTCTTTGACGTATCATATCCTATGCTCTGAAATGCAGCTTCACCTGATATGATAAATGTATAAACAGTATATGCAGCATTTAATGTTAAACTGAAAATCTATAACATTGTATGAAACTATACTTGTCTTAGATTTGCAAAGGAAAAAATGGCATATTAAAAGATATTTCCTTGTTTTTCTGCCTTGTAAACAGGCTAATATTTCTGTTTATAGCAGCATGCCAGTTCCAATCTCAGGTCAGTATCAGAGAGGGCCTTCTTGTTGGGATCGGGTGAAAATGGGCTTTACCCTTGGTTTTTGTGTGGGACTTGCATCAGGTGCTCTGTTTGGAGGGTTTTCAGCATTAAGGTAAGTCAGTTTTACCTTGTTTTTTTTAAATACTGAGCAACATGGTTCCTTTTAACTTTCTTAGAACAGACATTCATATTTTTTATTAGCTCCGGGCTCCTTTTAGTAATTTTTCCTACCATGAATTATATAGAGAGGAATATGATCCACTCCTAGCATGTAGTGTATGAGTAATATCATTACTTGATCAGAAATGTTTTGTTTCTTAAATGGTATTGAGATAAGGTTTTACTTTACTGGTTTTGTAGATAGTGATAATGTTTTTATACCTAATTATCAAGGTTTTCTTCATGCAGCCAAACAACTTTTATCTATTTGAGCTCATTCTAGAAAAAAATGTTCTCTGGGGGTTTTCCTAGTTTGCAGTTGATCACAAATTGTGCACCTTTAAAAATATTTGTGCAGTTAATAATTCACCTATATAAGTAAGTTCAAGTGGATAACTAAAAAAAACAATATATTGTTGTATCAGCGAGGTCACATGACTAGTAACACGCCACGTCCTTCTCGAACCTTCGTGAATTGTCGGGAGACTACGAGATTGGGGGTAGTCTGATATGTATAAGACGGTCACAACGTGATGGAACAATGGTATGTAATTGAACTGAGTATTGTTGAGCACGAGCACGTGAGACGTTCGTTGAGAATTAGAGCATTTGTTACAGAGCGACTGTTGAAATTAAGTGTATCATAAAGTTGTATTCGGAAAGAATAAATCAGTTTTATTTAAGAAAGGACTTGTGTCGCTAAAGTTTCGTCAGAACGAACTTATGGAAAATTAACTAATGAACGGAGACGTAACAATATGTAAGATTATCAAATTCCTTTTCAGAGTTGATAAATAAATATAATTACTAGAATATTCTTCATTTTTTGGATCATTTGTTATTAGACCTGTATATATGAGGTGCAATAAGGCATCATGTATTAAAAAATGATGAAGTTAAAATATAATTGTGCAATTGATAAAAATCCTTAGGAAAAGCTCTGAAGTTCTTTCACTAAAAATATAGCAGACTATCTCAATTTAGATATCAGCATCATTAATTAAACATTGAAGTTCGATTTTCAAATAAAATGAACACATTAAATTTTAAATTACAAACTTTCCACATTAATTAGGTTACAATTTTTACTACTTACAGCTTATTAGATTCAGTAGAAGTTGTTCAACATTACAAGATTTTTTGAATAGAGCTCATAAACTCTCTTGCATTCTTCACAAATGAGATTTCTTTTATTGCATTTTAAGAACAAAATTCATTCAATTTTCTAGCGAATTTTAGCAGTGTTCTTGCTGCCGATTATGGTTAGTAGCTTTACTGAATATCACAACCTTTTTAAAACTGTAACATCTACACTTTAATTCTTTTGGAAATTATTTAAGGTAGCACTAAACCTTTTTAGTGTATTTATCAGCATTGATTTACCCCCCTCTCCATTAATTTAAGCTTTTATTATGTATAGTTATTACTAACTGTATAAAAGTTTCATATACATAGTATGGCATTAGCTAGCACATTCCCTGCCATGTGTCCTACTGGTGTGTCACATCTGACTTTTAGTTATGGACCGTATTTTAAAGCCACGTTTTTCTTGTGGCATATGAGTCTGGGACTCTGAATGTTCCTTGGCACCTCTTGAATGTTTAATTTCTTTCTTTTATACTTAATTTATTATGCAGCAGTGAATGTGTTAAGTTGAATTAAGAAAAGTCTACATTTCAAAAGTGCTCAGTTTCTTATTTTTGTTGTTCATTAGTTTTTGATGATTACTTTGCCATAGTTAAGATTATTATAAATTTCCTTTTAAAGTCTAGTTATTATTGAATTTTATTGATACTTATCATATTTAATTTTTGGCTTTTACAGAAGATTTAACTTTATTTGTTACTTTCTGTTGTCTGCTCCATGTATTTTGTTGAGTGACAGAGGTTCGTTAAAGTGGGAGAAATTGTGTTAAACACACCTCATAGTATGTTTAACATATTGTTTTCTTTGTATTATATTGAACATTGTTATATTTTAATTACAAAACCAGTATTCTAACTATATATTGTATGATTCAGATATTCATTTAATTTATTATTTTGTATATTCGTAAACCTTAGTTTTGACTGGAGTCTTGGTAATGTCCCACTATTTAACTCCATACCCAAACAGTAATGTTTCGTAGTAGTTTATCTCAGATGTCATGCTCCTCTGAAGTTATGTTGTCAGAGTTTAACCCTTTACCTGCTGTGGCCATTTTGATCTTATTGTGAGGGCAAAATCACATTTGTGAATTAAAAAAATTATAGAGAACTTATCTTATATTGGATTTCAGTATTTTATTTTTGT